CAATCGTCATTTTGTAGAGCGTTTTTTACTGCATCTTTTCTTCATAGAGACAAATTTACAACCACTTGTTTCACTATAGAAAAATTTATTATTCAAATCGAGTCAGGACTTCTGGCCCACCCTTTACTACCTATTAGAACTATTAAATATTTTATTAAAAATAGAAATGTAATAAACAGTCTGTCAGTGATAAGTATTTCAAGACTATCCTGTTTAGAACGAAACTTGTATTACATTGATTTGTTTAATCTTTCATTAAAATTCGACGTATGAACATAAATATGAGAAAAGGAATAAATATCTTATAACAGCTGTATTGGGAATAATCTTATCATGACTGAAGGTTGTTCGTTATTGTCATATATTAATAAGCTAAAAATAAAAAAACTAGTTCACAATGTTTCTATTTGCATTGAAAACAGTTTAATAAAAAAATTATGATTGATAAACAAAATCTGAGACCATCTGTGTAGAGTAAAAATATAATTTATGAGTCTCAATAATGTTATTTTCAAACTTTAACAGAATTTCATGTAAAAAAATGATCATATTATAGAATGAAAACATGCTGCTCATCAAAATTGTAAAAGCTATTATTGATCTTTGTTTAATATGTGTTGGTCTTCTTGGCCATTTAACATTTATTGTTATGTTTATTGGTGAACGTCGTCTGAGAACGAATGCAATGTATTATCTTTTAAACTTAAGTCTATGCGATTTATTTGGTCTGTTAAATATGACACATATTTTTGTTGGATTATTTTCTCCCAATCAGCAAACACCGATTCCGCATTTCTTATGTAAATTTTTTGGTTTTAATATTTCATTATCGTTTCTTACTAGTATTTCGGCACTTATTCTCATTTCATTTCATCGATTAACAGCAACCGTACGTTTTAATTGTTGGAAGAAAAATAACCAAGTGATTAACCATCCTACTCATCGCACTAATCAGAATATAAAAAAATCACCAGTAGTTTATCTGCGTACAAGTTTTGTAATTATTTTATTAAGTTGGTTATTATGTATTATTTGCATTATTCCTATTTGGACTCCGATAGCAAATTTACAATATTTTCCACAAACACGAATTTGTGAATTGAATTTTAATGCTAATTTTGCATTTTCAGCGTCTTTATTAGTATTATACGGATTTGTATCAAATATAATTCTCTTCACTGTTAATCTAATTATTTTCGTTAAAGTTCGCCAATCTCGTCGACGATTAACGGTGGGACCGATAGAAGTGAGAAAAAAAAGTGAATTATTATTGTTCAAACAATTGATTACCTTACAATTGGTCTTTTTTATCTCGTGGTTTCCTGGTACGATCTTGAATTTTATCGATCCAACAAAGACAAAAGTAAATGAAAATGTTTATTTAATAACAACAAGTTTAGTCTTGCTTTCATGGACTGCTGATCCTATTATTTACTTAAAATTTAATACACAACTCAAAACAATTCTGAAAAAATATTTCAAAAATCGATTAAATTTAACTACAAGAAGGATAAATGTGGCGTACGTTACATCAGCGACTGTTATACGTTCACCAGTTAAATCCATTTAGATTTTGAGTACTAACACGTACAAATATTCATCGTTTTATTATTTGTTGTTTATTTGTACATTATCACAGGTACGAAAAAAAGAGGATGCATACAAAATTTGTTTCAACAACACGAGAAACAAAATATATAATAATAATAATAATAAAAATAAAAAAAAAGTCTCAAAAAATGTGATACCCTTGGTCTAATTTGGGAGAATACATGTATATAACTGTGTTGATCATTTTAAGATGTTCTTGCTTTTTCTACAACAAAAAGAAAACACTTTTCACTTGTTATTCAAATCATCTGAGAAATGATTTGAACAGCTGAACGAGTTTCCAACCTAGTGTGGCTCATATAAAGACTGCATCAGAATTGCTTGTAACCTCGATGAACGGTCTCCAAAAAACCAAAACCTTAGAAACCAAGTCACCAATTCGACTGAGAAACGTTTTTGTAAATAACTCCATTGTATAGAGCAAATGTTTCTGAACAAAATGAGATGTTTTTGTGGTCTCGGCAAGATCTTTTCATTTAACTGTCAATTGACGACACGTCTGAAACTGTAAAAACGAGCATAATTAACAGGAAATCATGAAGGATCTACTTTTGGGATGTGTCGTCAATTGAAAAGATGTTGCAGAGACCAAAGAGACATCTCATTTTGTTCAGAAACGTTTGTCCTATACGATGGAGTTGTTTGCAAAACATTTCTCAGTCAAATTGGGCACTTTGCTTTCTGAGGTTTTGGCTTTCTCAGAGATCATTCAGAGATTACAAGCAATTCTGATGGAATCTTTATATGCACCATATCAGACTGAAAACTCTTCCAGCTATTGAAATCATTTCTCAAATTTGTTCTACTTATTATAATTGACGAAAAAAATCGACAATTAGGATGGATAAACAATTCTATGAGCCACTGAATATATATAATAAAGATTTGCAAAAAAAATGAACAAAATGCATACTTGTCACTATAAATTGAGAAACATTAAATAGAAATCAATTAAACGAACAAAGATATCCCGCTCAAGAATCGAGCAGGCAAAAATACACCCCAAGTATATAGTAAATTTTTGTACGTATCTGTATTTTCTAATACATTTAATTAAAATAAAGCACATTTGGAATGATGACTCCCTGTCTCTCTCTCCCTCTCTCTCGTTTTATGAACACAGGGCACCATTATAATGTCAAACAAGAAAGAAACAAAGAGTGGGAAGAGAAAGATTAGTTCCGTATATATTCACATAGTAGTCTAGGTTTGTTTAGTTTTTATTTATAAAACAAAAATTGAAAGTAGCAACCAAAGACAAAAAATTAATAATTGTATGTATAATAGTAGTGAGAATAATAAGAATAAAGAATGCGTGTGCATGTATGTGTGTGCACGCGCAATATGTATTAATAATAATAAATAACGACAGAAAAAAAAATTGTATGCCTTCCGAGAAAAATAAACAAAATAAAAAGAAAAAAAAATCGAACAATTTTTAAATGTTATTTATTTATTGAATGCTGATACAACCGACCACATGACTTCCATTTTAGAATCATATTTACTACATTCTTGATCGGGATCTAAATCTAATAATTCGCGAACATGCTTCATAGCTACTTCATAGTCTTCATCTGATAGAGCGGTGAACGCATTTTCCAGTACATCTAAAAAATAAAGAAAAAACAAGATTCTGTTAATTTCTGTAAATAATCACATCTCTGATTACATACCACTAGCATGAGCTAAATAGATTAATGCTAACATTCGACGTTCCATACGACGAGGATCATTTGGCCAACGTGATAATACACAATCTTGGATGCGTTTAATTAATTTTATTTTATGAACACTGTCATTAAGTGGATGAGTTGTCATATCAAATAAAAAAAAGTTTTGTTTTTCGGTACTACAAATACCTTTGTCTACCAAATTTTTAGCCAAACGTTCACGAACATTGCGTAATTGATATTTTAATTTTAGAGGATTCCATGTCTCACCTAGAATAATAGATAAATAAACAAAAAGTATCACAAAAATTGATAAATGGAAAACTGTGTGTTTACTTTTGGTGCCATACTATGTTTGTTTACTTCAACTATGGCAACTGATTCTATGATGTAACCAGCGGCGGTTTACTACAGTCTGTTTGAATGGGATAGTCAAAAAAATCGGTTTAAATGAGGAAAGATGTCCTATGTTACGAAAACGCAAAGAGTAGCATCTTTAGTCACATTCGAGCGATTAATTCAAACCATACCTCAAGCATTAATACACTTTTGGCAAAAAAAAGTGAACAATAATAATTACAAACAGTTTATACAACAATCAAGACAGCATATTACCAAAGGATAAAACTCACTGTGTTCTAAAATAGATCTCGATGTGAAAACACTTACCACTAAGATATTCAATCCAACTCTGAACAGTTTCAGCTGGTTGTGTTTCTTTAATATGTCGTAAAGCTTCATCTAATAATACATCGCCTGTTGGTGTGTCTTCTAATAATATGACTTTACGATTTGTTAATGCTCGCCGACGAGCACCAGTCTTTTCTAATTCAACACGTCCACGAAACCCAAGTTCTAAAAACAAATTTGAGTTTTGCGTGTTACAACCATAGTAATATCTTAACATACCTGTTAATATGCAACCACGTAAACCAGATGAAATACAATCATTCCAGAACGATGTATAACCCTATGGAAAAGAAAAACATGAGATAAATCACAGAAAGTGTTCAAAACATTTAAATTATACTTCTCGATCTTTTAATCCTAACAGAAGAACTTCTTCCATTAATGTAAGACGTGTTTCCTTATCGTCACTATCTGGCTCTGCATTATCTTCACGATTGTTCGAGGAGGAAGCAGCGCCACTTTCCCCATCCGAACCCGTTGATTTAACTGCAGCTGAAATATTTCGACGCGTGATAGTCGTCATGATTCTGATAATGAAAGAATCAACAACTGATAGATAAGATCAACTAAAAATAAAAAAAATAAACGTTGCTTCAAAGTCTTGTTCTCAACAATTGTAGTACTCTGTCTTTCGGAGCGAAGCATGATGTTCTCTTTCATCTAACTGTGAGTAGTTTTGAATCTAATTACTCTTGAAAAAGTTTTTTTACATCGTTTTGTTGAATAATTTTTCAAAAAGTTTCTACCGGATGACCAGAACTAACAATATACAGAAAAATTTTCGATCTGCCGATATGTACTTCCTTGATTCCTTGAGCAGTATTTTTAATGGGGATTTTGAATAAAATGGGTTTCCAATGTTTCCCAACGTATTTTTTGTCACTTCCTGCTAAATACGAATTGGAAATGAAATTTTCAAAGTGAAAAAACAGTTTGCTTTCGCTTAATTCGCAATCATTAAAAATTGCTGTCGCCACAGCATATGTAAATAAAAAGATCTTAACAAGAAATTTGTTGGTGTTTCAACTCTTTGGCAAAATCTTTGCGAGCGTTTCCAAGGACGTCCACGATCGTGTGACAAATAATAAGCAAAAGGTACCAAACGTAAGGTTAAAAAATACTTGAAGCAAGATCGTACGTACAACAGAGATATCGTTACGCTAAATATTATTCAATTCACTTGGTTAAAATAGTACAACAAAGTGCTACTTTTTTAGTCATCAAATACATTTGAGCGAATTGCTTCACTTAAAACGCCATCATCTTAAAAATGATATAAACACACACCAATAAGAGCTAGTCACACCAAGTCATAAGACACGGAGACTATTTAAGGTAACGAATGTATTCCACTCAGGATTTCAGCTTCTAAAACTAGCAAACATACCCTTATTGTTTAACTTCATAATAATTATATTTGTCGTACGTGAGAGACATCTGCACATACCTGGTTCGTTATCCAGCGCTTCTTCGAAGAACTGACAAAACTAGTTGTTTTTCCGTATAAAAGCTAATAGTAGGATTTTTTATATGATTGTGGAAGGCCTTATCGTAAGACTGTGTAAAACTTCTTACTCTTGTCTAAGATCTGACTGCAAAAACTAATAAGATATTATAATGTAAGGAAAATTATCATCAGACTGGAGTATTTTCAGCAAAGATTCGTCACTAAGCCTGCTCCAGACCAGATTTTTATTAAGTTTTAATCATCTACCCCAAAAATTTATATATACTTGCTTACTTTTTTTCACTATTTAGGAAAGAGTTACAAAGAATACATTTTGCTTCAGCTAAGTTCACTGTCACTCGAAGTATGCAAGTCGATAAGCCTATAGTTCATAAAATGATAAAGTTCTTGGAAGAAACTTATGGAATAAAAGCAGGGCTCGGTCATTTAACACAGCATTGTTTTTGTTTAAATAAGATTTTAAAAAACAAACTATAGCGTTTGGAAACATACTGTAGGAAATTCATTTCTCGCCTTGGCTCAAATGGGAGGAGAGATGGATCAAGATCAAAAATAAATCCATGGTCGAAATACTTTCAGACCATTCAGGTTTTTTATTTATTTCGAATTCACTAGTTTTTCAAGCTTTCTCGAAAAACAAACATTGCCATAAGATTCAGTGTGATCAATAACCAATGTTCCATGTGTTTTGAAAGTTCCCAAACATGAAGTTTAGCCGACAGGTAGGTCCTGGGAAAATGCCCATATGGGAGTAAGAATTTGGAACTTGTGTAGTTTTAAAGATCTATCTTTTAAAGTCTAGAGGTTCGAATAAACCTGTCAGAATTCAAAATACATTATTTCTCTTGAAATGAGAAGCTTTCAGATTTTGTTCGACGATGTGCACCATGGTAGACCTGATCGGAAGACCTAATTTCTCCATAGATTTCTTTTCCAGTAGCTCCTCTATCAAATACTGAAAATCGCATGGTTCTAACTCCTTCTGTTAAAAAATTATTCAAAAAAGACTTTTTTCCATTCTATTTTGAAATGAATAGTAGATTACTAAATTTTAGGATTTTTCTCTACTCTAACTTCAAACATCACATAATTCATAAATTTATTATATTCCAAGAGAATTTTCGATGTCATATACTCAAATTCCCTGAACGCTATCAGGGACTGTATAGATTCCCCAAGGAATGTGAATATTCCCTAGGAAATGTAAATATTCCCTAGGGAATATTTACACATTGTATATATCCATGTGAACGATTTTTAGAATAAAATGACAACAACTTTACATGTAGGCTGAGTACAAGGCAAGGTGTAGGAGTGAAGAGCATGATCAAACATATCTTGATCTTGGTAAGATAATGAATTAGATTTGATGATTCTATTTTCTTTCACCCTTTTGTTTTGCTCTCATACATCTATATGGATAATACCAAAGATATAACTGAATTCTACGTCTTTATTTTATTTCCAGGCTCTGCTCGCACTTGTTGACTCAAAAATGTTCAACAACTTTTCAGACAGTCTACAGTGGAAGTCAAGCATCAGGTTCGAACGTTCAAATGTATAGAATTTCTCTTCATTCTTCAAATGTGTTTAACTAATACTTTTAACGATGTAGGATTAATATTTAAAAATTCTTAGTGAATTACGAATGAGTATTAATAAGTACTATTGAATACTATTATGGTCTCAATGGATTTTCACATAATCTTTAATAAATCTTAGACAAAGTAGCCTATATTCTGATAAGATCTTAGCAAAATCTTATCAAATCTTAAATTACTTTGAATTCATCATCTTAATAAGATTTGTTTAAAATTCTTATCAGAGACAAATGTGAGCAAAATTTTAAAGCAACCAAAATGGCATATACTCGTTGCACATTGAAAATATAAATCAGTGAAAACAACCTTGTGGTTTTTGGTTATGTAACAATACGATCAATATGTTCGAAGTTGTACAGCCCCCAGTTTAGTAAAACAAATAAAAGTATTATTTTATATTCATAAATTGCACTTTTGTCACAGTTTTTCAACGAATGATTTCAAAGAAATGTTTCACGCAATAATGCACATGAATAAAAATTGATTATAAACTTATATCCCCATAGGATATATTTAATCGAGAATAGTAAAGTAATCTTTTTAAAAACTAATCAGAATTTTCTAATGTTCGGTGTACTAGTGAAACGGATATATCCGTGGTAAACAGAACTCCATAATATTTTTCAAAACTATGTGTTTTTCAGATGGTTTTCTGGGTTTCCCACATGTTATTGATATGTCATTAATTATTTATTAATTATAATATAAGTGTCCGTGTTTTGACATTATTCAACAGAGTATTTTATTAGGAATCACGATGACTAAAGAATTTTATTCTTGTTATATGTGCAGTGCATTATCTTGTTCATAGTTATATTTGAGGTTCTTGTTATGCAAAATTTGAAACTGTCTTGGATGAATATAACTTCATCAAACACGATGTTGAGTTCGAGTGAAAATCGATCTAATTATTTCTCGCTTCTGGTTTACCACTCTATATATTTTGTATATTGAGTAGGATAAAAAGTAGTTATATACTAGAAATAATAAAGTATACTGTAATTTTGGCCTTATAATCGTTGACTCGAAGAAATGTTATAAATATTCTGACAGAACTTTTCATAAGACGTTCGACTATTTAAGATTAGAATATAATCAACCGAACGATATATTACGTATGTACAAAAAAGCATTTAGTTTCCTAATGAGAAAAGTAATACCAAAAAGGTATTTTCTGGCAACAAAATAGCTAACAATAGATTCATAGTGAAACTTGAACTTTATTATTAGAATACTAAATTCGTGTTAATAATCTGTTTTCCAGATCATACTTTTAAATAAGTTTTGTATTTATGATATAATAAGAAAAGTCATTTGTAGATGTTGGGTAATTTCGTTGGCTTTTTGTATATGTGACATTATAGAAAAAAATATCTGTCAAGAAAACAATAGATATAAATATGAGAATAGAATCGATATGTGTTCTGTTCTTTTTATAAAGAAGAAGAAGGTACTTATAGATCCGTTTGCTAATGAAAATATTATGTCACAATAAAAACAATTTGTTAGACTCTATTTAAAAAGACATCAAAACAACATGAATTTTAATAGTTATTTATCTGATACATAGACAAAAATGCTGTTTATTTATCAATTCGTAGTAAGTACGTTTGATTATTATTGTTTAGGACGTATCGTCTACTAAAAAAAATACTAAATCACATCTATATTATAAACGAATTTATTTTCATGGCTGTCATTGTATATCCCAAGGATCGATAACACTTGTTTACTAATTTTAAATAGTAGAACATGACAAAACTTTTCTTTGATAAAATTTCAAAACATTTTTTCATCAATTAGTTCCAATAGAATGGTTGTCAGGCAGTCGTAAGAATTTAGTCGTGAAAAATTCAGGATTTTAAAAATGATTAGTTATAATCACGTTAATAGTTATGGCAGAGAGAGAGAGAGAGAGAGAGAGAGAAAACTAGTGTTAGCAGCAGTTCCAGGACTGTTACCCGATGACTATTGGTAATCTCGGAAATGGGTGGGTTAGGTAATCAATCATACTAAGTCTCATGGCAATATTTTTTCTAGCAAAAAATTTTAGAACCCAGCAAAATATAAGTTTTTGCTGAAAAAGATTTTGATGTGAAAATTAGGAGTTTTTGACTATTCTTTTACCTAATATTAAAAAGTTCACTACTCCCATAATAGCATCAAAACTACTTTTAAACTTTAGGATATGGTTAATTTTGTCCACTAGACGTGATTAAAAGATTGAACAAAATTCAGAAACTATGTCTCAAGTCCAGAAACAATTTCGATAAAGAAGGGCTCTCTAAATTCTTTTTGGTAGACTTCTTATAAATAGAACATCAAATAGTGTAAATACTGTGCATCCTAAAGTTTAAAAGTAGTTCTGATGTTATTGTGTGAATAGTGAACGTTTTAATATTAGGTAAAAAACAGTCGAAAACTCCTAATATTCGAAAAACTTGTATTTCGCTA